GGAGAGACCGGCCGGGCGGCCCTTCCAGCTTTGATGGCGCGCGCGCGAGCGCACGCACACACACACACACACACACACACAAAAACACACCGGCCGAGCCGGGGGAGGGGAGCGGAAGGCGGGGCCCGGGAAGGGGAGCCCCGTACCTGCCTTCCCCTAGCGAGGGCTCCGCGCCCGGCAGCCCCGACGGCTACGACCAGGAACTCCCTTCGCTCCTCCGCGCTAAACTCCGGTAATGGCAGCGGCGAGGACCGCTTTGCACGCTCCCCGCCAAGAGTGCGCAGGCGCAAGCCTCCGGAACCGGATGTGAAGGCGGGTCCATGACTGCCTCTGACCAATCAGCGCCGGCTCCGATGGACGGTTTTTCTCCGTTCGCCCCGGAAACGATCGGAGCTCTTCCGGTGTCCGGCGGGGGGGGGGGAGGCCCATGGATCCGTTAGGCCCCCCTCCCCCTTTCGGCGCGGACTCCTCGGGCCCGGAGCCCCACGAGCGGCGATGGAGCAGCGGAGCCCCCGCGAGGCCCTGGGAGCCACAGGATCTCGTGAAAAGCAGGCCAGGCCCAGTCGGCCTCCGTTCCGTTCTTTGGCGAAGGGACCAAATTAGGGGACCAGCCGAATAGGGGACGTTGCGAGCTTAAGACTTCGCGCAAAGTGGGCCGCCACCTGCTTCTTGGCCAGGAAGAGGAAGGCGGGGCGGGCATCGTCAACCTGCCTGAGAAACCGCCCTCAACGACGAGTCCCTCGGGGGGGCCTCTGCGTGCCTACAGGGAGGGAGGGAGGGAGAGAAGCCCTTTGGGCCCCCAGGAGGCTCCGTCTTAGGCCCAGGACTCTTCAGCGTCTTCTTACACAGATGAGGGGTCAGAAGGGGAACTTACCAAATTTGCGGAACGAAAATAAGCTGGCAGCGATTGCTACCGCCCAGAAGATAGGCTCAAGATCCAGATGGATCTTTGACAGACCTGAACACTGGGTCCTATCCAACAAAATGAATTTTAATGTGGAGACAAGCAAAGTTTTATATGTAGGCAGGAAAAATCAAGGGTGCAAGTACCGATTAGGCAAGACCTGGCTCAAAAACAGTCACTGCGAGAGGGACGACCTTGGTCTCCTAGTCCTAGTGGACAATCGCTTAAACGTGAGCCAAGCTGTGTGCGGCAGCTGCCAAAAAGACATAACAGTCCTGGGTTGCATAAATGGAGGCATAGAATCAAGATCACGCGAAGTATTAGTGCCACTTTATAAAGCCTTAGTAAGGCCACGCCTCGAATCCTGCATGCAGTTTGGTCACATTACAAAAAATGTGGTGTCTCAAATGTTGAGACTGGAAAAAGTTCAGAGAAAAGCAAGTAAGATGATCAAAACACATGAAGAACCATTGCAGGATTTGGGTTTGTCCAGAACAGAAGAATTAGGGGTGACATGATAGCAGTATTCCAAAATTTGAAGGGCTGCCACAAAGAAGAGGGGGTCAAATTATTCTCCAAAGCACCAGAGGGCAGGAGAAGAAACGAGAGTAAGAACAATTAACCAGGGGAACCCCTCGCTTTCAGAAGTAGGTGCTTCATCACTGGAGGTTTTTAAGAGGAGACTGGACAGCAATTCGTCTTAAATAGTATAGGTTTTCCTGCTTGAGCAGGTGGTCCTGGAGAAGACCTCCAAGGTATTCTAGGTTCTGTTCTATATTCTATTCATTCTAATTCTAATTACTTTTTTTATTAAATTTTTATTTTTATTACACAGACAACACATACACACACAATAGAACAAAAACACAAAAAGCATCATCACATAGAGCTAATTCTAATTTCTATTAACTCCTATTCTCCGCCTCTTGCTGCCAGTTGGCTGGATCTGCATACTGCCCAGGGATAGCACGGCAACTGGCTCAGCGCGTTTATTGACCCAGACAAATGCTGAAGGCTCAGGAAGCGCCGTTATTGAGGCTGAAATGCTCTGTGCTTTGCTATCCCTTCAGCCCTCCTGAACGCACTGCCTGGCACCTCTCTGCGATGGGGACCTTTCCCACCCCATCCCCCGCCAGAGACACCGGACCCAAAGAGGCTGAGATGGAGGCCCTTCCCATCCGTCGGACAGAGAACCATCAACGGTTTCTTCATAAAATGTATCTGGACATGGTTGCAGAAAGCAATTCCAATAAAGGATAATATTTGTAGCTCAGTCGTTGAACTCTGCAATTCTTGGTGCCCTTAAGTTCACGTGTCGCTTGCAGACATAACATCGTCCGCGTGAATGGATGTGTGGCCTGGTCGCTGTGCATATACAGTAGCTGGCCCTGCCAGTCTTGGAGGAGGTTTGGTTTTTCCCTGGCAGCACATACTTCTACCACCTCTCCTTTGGCCATCCCCACATCTGTCCGTACGGGTGGTGCAAACTCCGTATGTTCCCACCGTGGGCAGCCGCTTTGCCTTCAAACTCCTTGCTTTCAGTATCAAAGGTTTCCCCTCTTCCAACCCCAGAGGCTCTGTCGGCCTGACAAGCGGGGCCAAAAAATTAGCATTCACGAAAGTTTCTTTATTCTCGTGTGCACACGCATCATCTAACATCTTGTTACACAAAGAAAAAAAACCGGATAGCTGCTTTGTAATCCTAGGTTTAGAGATAATTACTGGGCACTTAGTGGGTGAAAGGCACTGGCAGTTGGCATCAGGGTGGCAGTTCCAGGGACGGGCCTGAGAATCCAGCCTTTGGGGAAGCCGGAAGGGACAGAGGCTGACAGCCTTGGACGCTGCCTTCCTCGGCTCAAAGGGAAGGAAGGGCTGCAGGGCCTGCTTGTAACTCTTAGGGGGGGGGGAGAGAGGAGGAATGGCTGTTGACAGGGAAGCTTCCAGCAAAACCCCCGAGGCTCTGATCTGTCCTTGCTCTTTTTCCATTCCCAAGCCCCCCCCCATCTGTCCCGGTCCCTTTTGTACCAGCACTGGTGAAATTTACCTACAGAACGTTAGCAATTAAAACCCCGAACGGAAGGGTAGCAGCTCCCAGGGAGGCTCCTTACGAAATGCTATTCTCCAGAGAGTCCACCATGGGCATCAGGGAGGGGACGGTGAGACGGTCTCTCTGCCACACCCTTCCACGGCCTGGCAGCATCTCGGGTACTGCCATGGGGCAGGGGTGGAAGGGAAGGGGCGAGGCGGAGAGCACCTGTTCCCAGGAGACTCACCACCTTCAGGGAACCAGATACCAGAAGTAAAGGCCAGAACACAGATGCACAGGGCAAAGTCATTTCAATAAGCCCCCTCCCTCACGGAAGGCAAAGCGGAACCCACCTGGCTGTGTTGTCATCGCTCCCAGCCTTCCCGCCAAGCAGCACAACGACACTGTTCCACAGGGCTCTCCGGGAAGGCTGGCCCTGCTCCCATCTGCATCGCTCGGCAGCAAAGGGGCTCCCGAGACGCTGGGGAAAAAAACCCTCCTCTCCCCCTGCCTGCTTGGGCCCTCTGCCTTGTTCGGCTGGCTCTCCTTCCCCTGGTGCTTGGTGGCGAGCCGTTACTTCTTGCGAGATGGGAGGAAGTCGCAGCGTAGCAGGCGGTAGAAGAGGACAATGTTGATGGACAGCATGATGGCCATGCCCACCGTGCCCATGACGTAGGGGACTGCCGGGACCTTCTCCCGGTTAAGGGCCAGCCAGCGGCTCATCCAGGCCAAGATCAGGATTCGGAACACCAGGTAGGTGCCAAGGTTGACGAGGCTGGCGAGGCGGAAGAAGGGAGTGTTGGCCAAGCCGGCCATCCTCAGGATCGTCCGCAGGTGCAGGAAGACAGAGTTGATCTCCACCAGCAGAGCCACCATTGCGAAGCCCACAAAGCGACGAGCCAGGAAAGCAAAGCCAAAGCAAACGATCACCTGGAAGACAGCAAGGCCCAGCTGGCTCTTCCCCCGGGAGCGTCCGGCCCTGGAGCCCCCTGGCGGAAGCGGCAAGAATCCGGCTGCTGCCACAGACGGGAACCTTCTGCCCCTGGAAGCAGTTGGCAGCTCCCACCGTCACCGCCTGCTCCCCAGCTGTTCCTACGGGGCAGATCACAGCCTGACCCGCCTCCTGATCCATGGACCAGGCCGGCCCCCAGGCGTCTCTTCTGCCCCCACAAGCCTCAGAAAGGGGGCCCTGTGGCAGAGGGCAGCCCTGCCCCCCCCTCCCACCCTCAGCCAGAGTTTTAAAACTTAGTTCTAAGCCTTAACAGCCTCTCAAACAGCAGCCCCCGCCTCCTCTTCAGCCATGCCCCCCCCCCCGTCAGCTCTCTCTGGCTGATGGGAAGCGCCTACAGGTTCCCCTCTGCATTCCCACCTCTCGGCCCCCAGCTACTTACAGGAGCGGGCAGGGAAGCCCCTCCATTGGTGGGAGCCAATTCGAAGCCCCTGAGTTGCTGAGCTCTCCTTGAACAGCTTTTCTGCAGAACAAGCCCGTTTCCCCTCCCCCCCGCAGCCACCCTGCAAGATCTGCTTAAGGAGGATTGGAAGGAGTTGAGCTGTTTAAGTTGGAAGCCAGGCTGGGCCTCTGCTGAATTTGATTCTGACGTGGGCCACCCAGAGTTCCCCACTGAAGCTGGGGGTTCAAAAGCACACCGGCTCCCTTCCTGCAGGAGTTCCACGAAGGCACCCTCTGCACAGGCTCAGAGACCCTCCTGCCCCCTTCGTGCCCCCTGCCCTGCATTGAGGCCGAGGGCTGGCACCCCAACTGACACGAACTACGGCAAAATGAAGGGGATCCCTTCCTCCTTGCTATGGCCCGGCCAAGCCTGTTGAGATGGCCAGTGGGCAGCAGGTGGGCACAGTTGCAGCGGTCATTGGGGCTGAAACAGGTTGGACCCCCGTGGCCTCGGCAAGGGCCCGGCAGCAAACAGCAAAGGGCCTCTTGCCCTTCTGGCTAGCAGACCAAGTCAGGGCCAGGCGGTGTTGGAGGCCCCTGCAGGGACATCCTTGCTACGGCCATCCTGAGTCCCACGCTCCTTCTTCGGCCAAGAGGACAAAACTCCCCAGGAGGAGCCCAGCCCAAGCCCGAAGAGGCCTCTCTGCCAGCTCTCCCGGCCACAGGCCTCCTGCACCCTCGGAGCTTGGCTGCTCCTCCCAGCTCACCCCTTGCCCGGAACAGTCACGTCTTCTTAACACGAGAGACAGTTAACTCACCACAAAGTGATGGAAGAGCAGCTCCCAACATTTCTGAAGCTTCTGGTTACATACCATGTCCAGGAAGTCCTGCACAAAATACCCTGTGAGGGAAGAAGAGACGCCCCATCAGCCAGCAGCCGGTTGTCTCTGCCGCAGACTCACAACTCCTGGCTCAGAACCTGGTTCTCCTTCCGGGGTTACTCCACACCTGCTTTCCAGACCAGCTGGGTGACCAGGAAGGCCGAGCAGAATCAGGCCAACCCCAGAATCGGGGGTGGGGAAAGCGGAGGAGCCGGGCCCCCTTTGTTCCTGGTTCATCTCTAGGGCTGGATGCTGGGATGAAGCCCAGATTGGCTCTTCCCCCCTCCCACCGTCTGCCAAATCTCTCAGGCAGCCTCATCAGAAGGGGAGGCTGTCCAAGTGGCTTTGTCTCCTCTGGCCCAGAAAGTGGACTCCCAGCCATGGTCTCCCTTCATCCCGCTCTTTTGCCACGAAGTTGCTGCTTTAAATCTTCTGTTGAAGATTCAAAAGCTGTGAGATGTCTTTAAACTTTATGCTTTCGCTTTACTTTAAAAGACCCTTGTTTTTACTCCAATTTAAATGGAACAAACCCATGAGAATTGTAACTTCTTAGGGTGCCTGTCAGGCAGGCTGTAGGCTTTGCACACGGTGCTTAACTAAGTTGACTAAAGAGCTTGTGGGCGTCTTCACACGCCATGCCAACCTTTCACCAAATCATCCCAATGTGAGTTAGAGGGAGCGTGAAGATCATGTTGTCCAACCCTCTGCAAGGCAGGGAAAGGGTGAAAGTGACCCTGAGATTCAGCTGCCCAGCCTGCTCTTAAAAACTTCCCAAGTTAGCAAATTCGGATTTTCGGCAGACAAATTTTCCATATGTTTTTCCTCAGATTTCAGCAAAATCTAGGACACTGCAACCTCCTACACCTCACCATCTACAGCCATGGACGGGAGATCCTGACCCTCTTCTCTACGGGACCCTTCTATGCCCCCAAACGCAGCTATCCAGTTTCTCCTTTCTGGGGCCTAAATCGAACACCGAATCAAGCTCTTGGAAAGGGCGCTGGAGGCCTTCCCTTCCCAAGCCCCGGCCCAGAGCAAGCGAAGGGCAGCCTGGTCGTTGCCTGAGAACAATTCCAGGAGGCCAGCTGGTCTTTGCTTCAGAGCACTCGAAGTCAGGAGATTCCTGCTGGTTTCAAGGCTGGATCTCTGTAAAGCTTCAGCCCATTGGCTCTCAGCCTTCCCTTGGAGACTGTGCAGAGTAAAAGCAGGGGATCTTCCCCTTGTGGCCATTCAAGTGGGCTCTGTTGCGTCTCCATTCTCCCTGAGCATAAAAACAGCCAGCTATTTCCTTCTCCATGGGATTTAGCCGCCCATTCACTCCATCCATTGCCCAGCGCCCTTCTTGTAGCATTTGGGCAACTGCACCCACAGAGCACCAGGACAGTTGTATCTCTCCCCATGTTCTCCTTCCGTGTTCCTCTGTTGGGGCAACCAAAGATTGCATTGGCTCCTTTGGCAGCTTCAGCAGACTGCCAGCTCATGCTTCATCGTGTCCCCCCCTCCCGGAACACCCGGATCCTTCTGCTTGTTCCACAAGGCCAGCCCCAGCAGCCGCTCCTCACAGGGCGGGTCCCGCGGGGACCTTCTCTGAGCCAGCTTCAACCCATCTTCTCGGAATGAAGGTCCAAAGCCACACACGTGTCCTGGGTTGAAATGCCCAGCTGAAGACATTACTAACGGTGAGAGCAATCGACTGATGGAACAGCTTCCCTCCAGAACTGTGGGTACTACAACAACACTGTAGGTTTTAAAGAAGACATTTGACAGTTGTCTTAAATTGCATAGAGTCCCCCGCTGGCTGGACTGGAAGAACTCCGAGGTCCCTTCCAGCGGGTTATTCTTCTATGTTCTAAGGAAAACGGATGGGCCTGGCTTAAGGCCACCCCTTCCCTTTTAAGGAAGGCAGGCAACTTAGCACAAGATGACAGGCACCCGGGCCAAGAGGGGGAGATGCCAGAGGCACCTGGAGGGTGGCATTACAGGTCTTGGATGCAGAATACAAAAAGTGGCAGGGAAAGGTGAGGTGAC